CTTTGACTGCTGCTCTCCTCCGCTTTGACGCCCAACGAAGAATAGATCTTCGCTTAGTTTTGGGTTTCTCAACCTCTGGCGTCGTCTCAGGCTCATTTAAATCCGTTGACGGATGCCCAAAATACTTGAAAAAAGCATTTAGGCTGAGCATTTGGAGAGACAATGGACTTGTAAAAAGCTCGAAGACTTTCGGCCGCCTATCATGAATGGCCGCTACTATCTCTTCAGTCCATTGCTGCCTTAGCAGAGCAGGGCTTGCAGTCTCTTCTTCAGCAACTTCAGATTTTTCTGGATCCTTTAAGACGACATCCAGAGCCGGTTCGACGGCTGGCTCAATAGATAATGATGTTTCCAATGTTATTTCATCATCTTTTTTCTCGTCTGCTGGCTGAAGAGCTGGGGCATCACCGGAGTGCCCATGCTGACGAATAATTTCAAAATCGTCAGTTTGAGTGGCTTGATCTTGCATGGCCTGGTAGCCGCTGTCGGTTTCATTAAAGCAGGCACCGGAATTTCCGGCCATTAATTTTTTTTTTTCGACAGGAACATGGAAATCAGCTGACTTTCATTGACGAATTCCGATTCAAAAGTGTCCATATTGACTTCGCAAAGCGCAGAAAATATATATATATATCACTCGCAGAGGGTGTAACCAACCTTGGTCCACATCACCCTGCGGGTTTGAGTCAGTGCCTTGATTATAAGCCTAATTGCGGACCTCCTGGAGCAGCCATTCTTCTCAAGATTCTCGGCGGTGGCGAAAGTTGCCGGAAGTTCGCAATTCGGCGGCGGCGTTATACTCCCCGGAAGTGCGCAATCGACACGTGACTGGGGCCCTGTTAGGGTTTATTTTCCACCTCGATAATTTAGGACCGTTATTAGGAGGATAGCTTCTGTTGATACTGATGCAGGATCTAGTGTTAGTGATATTGGGGAATCAGATGGGGATGCTGATCAGACAACAGCCTAACCATGGCTCAGAGTATATCCACCCGAAGATGTTGATACTCCGGCACATCCAATTCTTGAGCTGACTGGTCAAAAACACATGCCACCTAAAGATGTCCAATTCCAATTCCAGTTGTCCAATAAAAATTCTAAATTTGATCCTTTTTCAGCTTTCCGGAGGCCTGCTATATGAAGGAAGGTTCCTTAGCTATCTTTTTTAGTTTCCTTTCATTTGTGGTGTGTAGTCACATCTGATATCCGGGTTCTTTGCTTCCTAAGTCCGACGTGGTGATTTCGGTTTTTGGGTCTGGTACGGTCCAGTTCTATTATTAGTGCTGGTATCTGTGGGTTTTAGCTGATTGTTGCTGGTGCTTGGTTTAATGCCCTATTGCTGCCTGGTTGCCGTTCTGTAAAGCCGCGGAGAAAAGACAAAGACAACAGGTCACACCGTCTCAAACAATGCTCCTTTTCAGGACAACCAGGGCCGTCACAATCTGTTGTTGTGATCAGCCCGTTTGTTTTTTCACAGAGTGTGGAGAAGTAGTGGAGGTAAGATAGGCTGCAAATGAGAGAACTAATTTGCCCGAATGTCACAGGAGATGTGATAGTTAGGTAGGAAGAATAAGAGCGACAGATAGCTTGAGAGAGATTGGTTCCACTCCTGATGGGTTGAGGTCCCTTGGTCTGAAAAAAGAGTGAAAGGTATTGTTGAAATACATGTGGGGGTGGGGTGGGGTGGCATGAGAGAGACTGGAATTCCCAAGTGCTGGCTCCACTGCGATGTTGGTCTTCAGCTGAACCAGTGGCTTGAAATCTTTACCAAAGTCGACTGATGGTACTCTGTTGCACGTTTAGATGCCTGGCAACCTGACTTTGACTTTCTCCTGCTGCAATCCGCATGTAGCAGTTTTCCTTACATTTAGCGATAGAGTCACAATTTTGCAAAAATTGTTGTTGCGGTAAGAAAGCTTTCATCAGCATAAGTCCTAAACGGACAAGGATACATTTATAAACAAGAATACGTAACAACTATTATCATGGATTGGACTAAATGAAGAAAAGAGAACTGTAGGCAAGTTGCCACACAAAAATGTTTCATATTATCAAACTATTCAGGTGTATTTGATTGAGGCTCCACTCATATCATGGGTTGCTACTGCTCTCTAACCTCTAAATGTGTAAGTTTGGTCTTGATCTTACTTAGAACAGTCTATGTGTATAATCAGCAAAATGAATGACTATGTTCAGACTGTAACCTACAGCGTTTGCGTGTAGGAGTGTTTGTGTGTAGGCGACAATGAAATTAAAACAGAAGAGGTGGGGGTGGTGGGGAAATGAGAGACTGAGAGAGCAAAAGATGAGAGAGGCAAGAGATAAAACATAAATAATCAGACAAATGGAACAGAGCGTGTGAAAGACACTGTGTAAGAGTGTTTGTGTGTATGTGTGGTGAGTTTGTGTGTATGTGTGGTGAGTTTGTGTGTATGTGTGGTGAGTTTGTGTGTATGTGTGGTGAGTTTGTGTGTATGTGTGGTGTGTTTGTGTGTATGTGTGGTGAGTTTGTGTGTATGTGTGGTGAGTTTGTGTGTATGTGTGGTGAGTTTGTGTGTATGTGTGGTGAGTTTGTGTGTATGTGTGGTGAGTTTGTGTGTATGTGTGGTGAGTTTGTGTGTATGTGTGGTGAGTTTGTGTGTATGTGTGGTGAGTTTGTGTGTATGTGTGTGTGTGTTTGTGTGTATGTGTGGTTTGAGTTTGTGTGTATGTGTGGTGTGGTTTGTGTGTGTATGTGTGGTGAGTTTGTGTGTATGTGTGGTGAGTTTGTGTGTATGTGTGGTGAGTTTGTGTGTATGTGTGGTGAGTTTGTGTGTATGTGTGGTGAGTTTGTGTGTATGGTGTGGTGTGTTTGTGGTATTGTGTGGTGAGTTTGTGTGTATGTGTGGTGAGTTTGTGTGTATGTGTGGTGAGTTTGTGTGTATGTGTGGTGAGTTTGTGTGTATGTGTGGTGAGTTTGTATATATGTGTGTGCAAAATATAAAACAGGTTAAGGACAGGTTAAACCCCCATATTAAACGTGATTGTATCTGTTGGAAACGATGCTTTCCCTAGGTACATACTAGTTGAAGATTGGAGGAAAAATAATTTTAGGGGCTAAAAAAACCACATTGAATATTGATGGAAAATGTCATATTTGATGCGAAAAATAGCCAAATTTGTACTCAACATTTACATAGATATTTCAGAAACTAATAAAGATAGCTTAAATAAGCAAGCGAGAGAGCATGATAGCAATAGAGAAAAATAGCGACGGCTGAGAGGCATATAGACAGACAGACAGACAGACAGACAGACAGACAGACAGACAGACAGACAGACAGACAGACAGACAGACAGACAGACAGACAGACAGACAGACAGACAGACAGACAGACAGACAGACAGACAGACAGACAGACAGACAGACAGACAGACAGACAGACCAGGACAGACCAGGACAGACCAGGACAGACCAGACCAGGACAGACCAGACCAGGACAGACCAGACCAGGACAGACCAGACCAGGACAGACCAGACCAGGACAGACCAGACCCAGGACAGACCAGACCCAGGACAGACCAGACCCAGACCAGACCAGACCCAGACCAGACAGACCCAGACCAGACAGACCCAGACCAGACAGACCCAGACCAGACAGACCCAGACCAGACAGACCCAGACCAGACAGACCCAGACCAGACAGACCCAGACCAGACAGACCCAGACCAGACAGACCCAGACCAGACAGACCCAGACCAGACAGACCCAGACCAGACAGACCCAGACCAGACCAGGACAGACCCAGACCAGACCAGGACAGACCCAGACCAGACCAGGACAGACCAGACCAGACCAGGACAGACCAGACCAGACCAGGACAGACCAGACCAGGACAGACCAGACCAGGACAGACCAGACCAGGACAGACCAGACCAGGACAGACCAGACCAGGACAGACCAGACCAGGACAGACCAGACCAGACCAGACGACAGACCAGACCAGGTCAGACCAGACCAGACCAGACCAGGACAGACCAGACCAGACCAGACCAGGACAGACCAGACCAGACCAGGACAGACCAGACCAGACCAGGACAGACCAGACCAGACCAGACCAGGACAGACCAGACCAGACCAAGACAGACCAGACTAGACCAGGACAGACCAGACCAGGACAGACCAGACCAGACCAGACCAGGACAGACCAGACCAGGACAGACCAGACCAGACCAGACCAGGACAGACCAGACCAGGACAGACCAGACCAGGACAGACCAGACCAGGACAGACCAGACCAGACCAGACAGAAAGAACAAACATACAGTATAGTTCCAGTATTACACACATCGACTGTAATCCCCAGCTGGTATCTAGCTGCCAGGTGTGTGTCAGATGGCGGCTTTCTGCTGGCCAGTCTTTTAACGTGGGGCTCTGATGTTTCCAGAACTAAGTACTTCCACACTGACGGTCTCTGTCAGGTAGGATTCCTAGATGTTTGTGTTTGAAATATTGCTATTAGCTGTCATTTAGGTGTCAGCTCCGCAAGGAAGGTTTCCTGAAAAAGCTCTTAAACCATCTGCACAATTTGATCGTGCTATTGGACAGATTCCAATGGTTTATCCTTTCACATAATCTAAAATTCTGTCGAGATGTCGCATTTTTTAGTTCTTTCCTTCTCTCTCACTATGTAGCCCTGTCACACAACATTTCAGACTGACAAATGAGACACGTCTTGTATTCACAATGACCTGCATCGTCTCTGAAGCTGGACCGCTCCCGTCATACGGTCTTTTGACTTGACCATCACGAGATAGGGAGTGTTGTTACACTTGACCGATGGTGGGGTGAGTTGTCAGTAATTCTCATCCAGTCTGCCGTGGCAACTCCTATCTAACTCTATGGCGCTCGTATTTATATTTGGATGTCCTAATAACGGTGTCATTTTCTATATAAGTGCACTGGATCCTTGGTATCTTGTTTCTGTTTGTGAAAATATCCCCCATTACACTGATCTATTCGCCCGTCCTCCCAGAATATACTTCCTAGATATTGAAAATTCTTTAACTTGTTTCAGACAAGTGCCATTCAACCCGGTATGTAACGGACTAGGAATTATGATGACCTACATTACTTCAGTTCAAGTAGTTCTTATTTCCATATACTATGATTTATCTTTTGTATGTTGAACTTAGCCTGTTCAATTGCTCTAGCAATATTCTCCCCTTGTGGTAAAACAGGCACTGATCATCTGCAAATAGTAGCTCGTTTACTGTGTGTGGATCAATGTCTTCCGCTTCCGCCTCATTTTTTTTTTTTTTTTTTGGTTTTTCTGGGTCGACAGCTCTAAAGCTTGTCTCTTATTGATGCGTGCGTGCGTGCGTGTGTGTGTGCGTGCGTGCGTGTGTGCGTGCGTGCGTGGGTGGGTGTGTGTATATATATATATATATATATATATATATATATATATATATATATATATATATATATATATATAGGAGAAGGGAGAGTACATCCCTGACTCACCCATGAATCGATTGTAAAAGTGTCAGATATGCCTTCATGTGTTCTCATTGAGCTTTGAGAAGTGTGCTACACGGTCACTATGTTATCTAGCAAGTGTCCTTGTATCCCATAATCCTCAAGAATATCCCATTGTTTCTTACTGTTCTATCAAAACCTGTTTCCTGATCTACGAACACTGTACTGAGCTCATCCTCATATACAAAGGGTTTTTTTTTTCCTCGCAAATTTGTCTTAGTGTATATCATGCATCTGTTCAAACTTTCCCTCTTTCTGGAACAAAATTGTCGTGCACTTAAGTGCTGTTCCGTTATAGGTCTAACTCTCTGTTGTAACAACTTCGCATACATTTTTCCTGTACGGCTCCAGAGTAATACACCTCTGTACAATGCACGGTCTCTTTAGTTTCTTTGAAACTAAATATTCTGGCAATATCAAGCACCAAAGAAAGAATAGACGCAGAAGGCTTGGTACCAGGAAAGATGGGCAGGGACTACAAGCACGGAGATGGGCACAGGATGTCAATGACACCTTCAAATTTCATGAGGGGGAATGCTTGTGAGAGACCGAGCTTCTTTCAGACAGACTGATGACAGCGCCGTTTTGCAAAGGACCTGCCACATGATGATGATTTTCTTGCAACTGTTTCAGGTGATCGTGTTCCTGACATTCATATTTGCCTTTATGTCCGTGTGGCTGACTGTCAGTGTCACAGTCGAGAACTACATTCGGATCTGTCGACCGTTCAGGTAAACTATCCTTCCATTGTTTGTTGCCTGTGAGACGAGACGACCATTTAAAAGAAAGACTATCATTTTCTTCTTTATTTTAGACCCTGTTTTGTCTTTGAGCGTTATGATTTGAAGATGAATTTAGCGCAAGCCTTGGTATGTATGAAGCTGATATTAACAGCCTTAGGTATTGCATCTATCATTTGGACTGAGGAGTGACTTGTAAGTGTGCTTCCATTATGTCAAAATTACAGCTTTCTCTCTTCTCTCTCTCTCTCCCTCTCCCTCTCCAGCTCTCTCTCTCTCTCTCTCTCTCTCTCTCTCTCTCCTCTCTCTCTCTCTCTCCCTCTCTCTCTCCTCTCTCTCTCTCTCTCTCTCTCTCCTCTCTCTCTCTCTCTCTCTCTCTCTCTCTCTCTCTCTCTCTCCCTCTCTCTCTCTGGTGCACTATACTGTGCTAGTCTTCACACATGTTTCAACCATTTAATCTCTTGATGTAGGTTGTTACTGGTTCAGTTCCAGCTTGTTTCCTAAAATCTACATTTATGATTCTTTCTTTTCTTGTTGCATTTCGTTTTGGTCGTAGATATTTCATTTCTGTCGTTTCCAATTTTCATCTCCCTTTTGCTGCTAATGTCAAAGTTTTACACTGGTAACATAATGTTGGTAAACTACTGTATTAAACAGTGCTCTTTTGGTGTCGATTGTTGCTGGCTTGTCCACTCTGCAATATTGCTATCTTTTTAAGAATTTGATTGGCTCCATTACTTTTGTAGTCTATTTCTGCTTCGTTAAAAAAATGTCGAACATATTTGAGCTGCAATGTTTGTGACAGATTTTATGAATGAGAATTTCGTGTCTCTTGAATGTATGCAGAAGCATGTCGAGAAATGTGATGCTCTAAGATACTGGCACATCGGCAATATCATCGATGGCAATCAACATCCATGTGTGGGTTCCACTGGGGGAGAGAAGAATAAACCCACTGTCCCTTAATAAGCATGTCGTAAAATGCGACCACTTACGGATTTACTTAAATCGATCTGAACCAAATCCCCTGCAGCAGGGATCGACTCTGGTATACTGGTGTGACGAGGTGCGTTCTCATCGCCTAAGCCACAGAGGAAGACAAATCTGCCTGCCTGCGTGTATGGGCCCCTTTCTAGAGCGGTGTAGTCACTGGGTCTTGGAGCCTCAGCATTTATGGCCGCGTGGTTAGAGCAGTCACTACTGACTGTGCAGGTCAGGATTTTATTTTTGCTTCCGACGGAGAGAGAAAAAAATTATGTAACCTTACCAGGGATTCCTCTTCTTCGCGTTCACAAGCTGTAAACTCTGGCGAAAAATTCTGGTTGTTCATCCACCTTTGGAACTGCAGTCCTGTTACAGAACCTGAGTGTTGCGTGTGCATCCGTTTTACAGATCTGACTCATTTGTATCCGACTGCTGGTTTCTTGTCTCTCAGACAGATGCACTCCGACTTCAAAGGAAGCTCTTATGATATGCTTTTGCATAGGCAGTGGGTCATTTCTTTTTTTCCCAACCCAAAATAAGGCCCAGGAAACCACCACGGGATGCCGGGGATTCAAATCGGGGTCTTCAGCATTTGAGCTCTAAACCGTTAGGTCATCATCCCTGTCTAAAACCGACCTTAAATGGGGTACTATAGGTCGTCAACGTACAGCATCCGTCAACGCAAGCTATGACGGGTCAGTTGTAACGTATGGCTGTGAATCCTAGACATTTGATAAACAAACTAAGCTAATTATTTAGGCCTGGCACGTGAGGTTTTACAAAAGAATCTGTATAATTCCGTAGACAGCTAAAGAGAGCAATGCAGATGTTCTGAACGCAACTTATCACAAACATAATTTAAAAAACAGTAATCTCTTCTTTGTTTTGTTGGGGGCATGGGGTTGGGGTGGGGTGTCATTATGAGAAGAGACAGAGAAAGACAAGACGAGACGATTTTTGACGTAGTTTTGTCATGGCTTGAAGGGGTTTCATTACACAGTGGTACATGCTGTTGAAGATCACAGATTGTGGAGAGGCATAATCGCCCCATGCCAATCAGTTAGGCACTTAATGATGATGCTAGGTTGTAAAACCAGGTAATGACTAACTTTTATATGACAGTGTACAAGCGTTCTGCACGGTTGTGGTGGCCCAACGTACAATATGCTGTGTCCTGTTTGTTGGCCTGGCCATGTACAACTATCCGCTGTGGACCACCAAAGTGTTTGTTGTCCAAGTCCACAACACCACAGACTATTGGTGCACCGGTTACAGGCAATATGACGTTTTACTCAAGGTAAATGTTTGTGTGACGTCAAGGCAATGGGGTGGGGGTGAGAGTGGATAAACAAAGTTTGACAAAAAACGGGGTGGGAGGGAGTGGCAGAAAATGGATAATAGATAGAAGTGAGAACGCATACATATAAGTGAGAGGAGAAAACACGATAGATGAGATGGAGAGAGGCAAACAAGAGTCTGATAGAAGAGATAAAAAGATGAAAAGAGAGAAAGTGGAGAGAGATGGAAAGATGGGCAGAGAGATAGATAGAGGGACTAGACAGAGGCAGAGATAGGGTGGAAGAAAAAAAAATGTCGAGAGAGAGAGAGAGAGGGGGGGGGGGAGTGGAGGAAGAGAGACTGCAACTCAAATACAGTAGGCTGAAACTTCTGTCCGTGCAAGAAGAGCCCATACAGAGCAGGGTATTCTAGTTAATTGTGCCTGTGGAAAACATCTTGTCTAGATCAGTGAAAGATGTGGTCGGTTCTGAAAACTGTTCGTCTGCTCACTACCCGTGAAAAAATCAACTGCTAATTACTTACTTTATTTTACCACTTTTGCGGTGTAGGCAGGTGGGTCTTTGAGCCTGAGGATTTACGTCCGCATGGCTAGTGCTGTCGCCACGACTGTGCAGGTGAGAATTTTATTTTTGCCACCGACAGAAAAAAAAATCCCAGCCTTAGCGAGGATTCAAGAAAAAGCATATCCTCTGCTGTTAGAGTCCCGCCCACATCTTGTATGGCGATATGAACGAAGACGACATGTCAGCAACGTTAGCGAAGCCCTGTCAAGATCGCGATAGCAACTCAGGACCTAACGAGGGAATAACAGGGATAACAGTTACTTCAACAACATGTCAAACTGTTACAACAATATCACCATCGATGGCTCACAAGACAGAACAAACAATGGCAGTCACACCAGCAACCGATGGAACAAGAAGGAACACATGACCTAATCACATCCAAGCCTACACAAAAAGACGAAGACGACCTGGCCTGCCAGATAGACACGGAAAAACAAAACATAAGCACCAAACACTACGTTAAGAAATAGCATCACAATTTGTTGCCATAATTATAACCGATGTTTAGTAGGGCGAGGTTATCTCACTGGTCGGAGTTTGAATGTGACTAACTGAAATCGAACGAACGAAATGGTGCATTTACAATACACGCAAAAAATATAAGTCTGTATAGATGAGGATATGATAAGACAGAGACGATGAGGGAGGGGGAAGGGGGGGGGTGGGGATTGAGGAAGGTAAGAAACTAAAGAGAAGAAATTAAATTGTGTGAAACAACCAAAAGTAACCAAGTTGTGGATACTGAAAAGGTGTCACATATACAAACCAAACGACTAAAACAAGTAATGAAGGTGCAAATATTATGAAATGGGCAAAACTATAGGGTATATCATATACAACACTAGTAACTATTTAAGGCTGGGTCGGCCTGGAGGCTAGGGTCATGTTTGGGGGGAAAAAACAGTCCGGCTCCGTCGAGATCTAAACTCATGGCCTTCTGATCCGCAGGCGAGCGTCTGGTCGCTACACCACGGCTGTTCTTCAAGTTTATGTATATATATATATATATATGGATGTGTGTAAAGGAAACCATGCATACACGCACTGCTACGTGATCGTGCACACCTGTGTGTATATTTGTAATTGCACATGTATATGTGTGTATGCACACCAGCCCTGATTCGGAAAACCATCACCAGTTACTAGAGTAGCGGTCCAGACCACTCATTTTGCTGCAATCAACACTTCTTAGCCAATATACTTGGCACAACAAACCAGCTCACAATTATAGCCGATACTGCTCGCAGTTGGTTGAGTGTGAACAGTTTTTTTTTTTTTCAGTGGTTATCTTTTGTGGACATGCTGGCAACCTTGGTGATCCCGTCACTGATCATCATCATCCTCATGATGGCGATAACTGTCAGTCTGGTGCAAACGATCAAACGTCAGTCCAGGCTTCAGCAAAGCTCTTCCAGAACCACACATAGCAACAGTTGCAATGGAAGAGGTCATAGATCCACCCGATCCAGTGGTTCCCCGCAGGCCAAAGTGAGTCGGTAATGTATCATCATTTTTAGCACAATTATCGTCATCGTCTCTTCAACATCGTCGTCATCATCATCACAGTCTTCATTAATATCATCACGTCATGGTCGAAATCAGCATCAACACTAAAGTCGTCGCTTTCTGCCATTATCATCATCATTACCAACACCACCAACACAACACCAGCATTGTTGCCTTTTGTCTTGTTTTGTCTTTATTCTGCGTTGCGCCGCTACCATGTTGTAGAGTTTCAAGGTATCAGTGACTCCTTCAATCCATACCTTTCGTGGTCCCCTACCTCTTGGTGTTTCTAGATTTCATGTTGCACAGTCTCTTTCTGGAATTATTGGATTCGTTCTCATTAAATGGCAAATTGTTTTTACTCCAGTGAATTTAACAATTGGTGTTGTTTTTTCACATGGGGCTGGAGAGCTGGCTAGGAGAGGGATACTTTCAGACGTGCCGTGAAGAGAGCGACGTTCTGTAAAGGACTTGCTGATTGATGATGATGTTTTTTTCAGTAGTTCTTGTAATGTCCTCGTCTTTCACATGATCTCTTCTAGTATTGTTCCCGACCTTTCCCGGACATCTCACTTCACAGTTGATCTGTTTCAGCATCACTACCGATCATCACATTCATAACTGTGACCATCATTATCATCAAAGGCACGATCTTCTGCCAGCAGTGAGGCTGGCATAGTTACATATGTTCACTTTGAAATAACATTAAAACTGAAAATACTTAACTTAGTTTAAAATTTTGTCATTTAGAGTTCCATATTTTGGTGAGTGCTGTGGTGAATAACACCACGTCGGCCGCTTTCACATCCTAATACTTGTCCTGATTGAAGGCTGGGTCGATTTGGGAGCCAAATTATTTTTTTTTTAAAATACGCCTCGGTCAAGACCTTAGCCCACGCCCTTTTTGATCCACAGATGAGCATCTGGCCGCTACACTATGGCGGCTCTCTTGACTTGAAATACTCACAATTTTTTATTCCAATGTTAACTCTGAAGGGTGGAATTGGATATTGTTCCTTAAACTACTACTACTACTAGTAGTAGTACTACCACCACCACCAAACACGATATCTCTCTCACTCTCACTCACTCTCTCTCTCTCTCTCTCTCTCTCTCTCTCTCTCTCTCTCTCTCTCTCTCTCTCTCTCTCTCTCTCTCTCTCTCTCTCTCTCTCTCTGTTATCACACACGTACTTGCCTAAAAAAGTCGTGAAATAACTACAACAGTAATGACTCCAAAACAGGTAACGGGTATGCTGTTTGCTGTTTCCTTCTGTTTTATCATCCTCAATGGACCTAGCCACGTGATTCGCTTGATTATGGTCATTGATGAGTTTATGGGTAAAACAAGCAACAGCCTTTCTGTGGAACAGCAGGTTCAAGTGGTGTTTCAGGTATTTGTTTGCTGGTGTTTCAGGTATTTGTTTGCTGGTGTTTAAGTATTTGTTTGCTGGTGTTTCGGGTAATTGTTTGCTGGTGTTTCAGGTAATTGTTTGCTGGTGTTTAAGGTATTTTTTTGCTGGTGTTTCAGGTATTTGTTTGCTGGTGTTTCAGGTATTTGTTTGCTTGAGTTTTCAAGTATTTGTTTGCTGATGTTTCAGGTATTTGTTTGCTGGTGTTTCAGGTATTTGTTTGCTTGAGTTTTCAGGTTTTTGTTTGCTGGTGTTTCAGGTATTTGTTTGCTGGTGTTTCAGGTATTTGTTTGCTGGTGTTTCAGGTATTTGTTTGCTGGTCTGTGTCTATAGATGTGCATCATCTTTGGGGTGTTTGTTAGTTTTATTTCTACAAATGCATACAGTCTTACAAACGTTTTACTGTCTCACTTGAACATATATGTGTACAATCTGTCAAGTGTTTTACTTTTTCACTTCAACATATGTGTACAATCTGTCAAATGTTTTACTTTTTCACTTCAACATATATGTGTACAATCTGTCAAGTGTTTTACTTTTTCACTTCAACATATGTGTACAATCTGTCAAATGTTTTACAGTTTCACTTCAACATATGTGTACAAACTTACAAGTGTTTCAAAGTCTCACTTCAATAGATGTATATTATCTGTCAAGTGTTTTACAGTCTCACTCCAACAGATGTATACAATCTGTCAAGTGTTTTACAGTCTCACTTCAACAGATGTATACAATCTGTCAAGTGTTTTACAGTCTCACTCCAACAGATGTATATTATCTGTCAAGTGTTTTACAGCCTCACTTCAACAGATGTATACAATCTGTCAAGTGTTTTACAGTCTCACTCCAACAGATGTATATTATCTGTCAAGTGTTTTACAGCCTCACTTCAACAGATGTATATTATCTGTCAAGTGTTTTACAGCCTCACTTCAACAGATGTATACAATCTGTCAAGTGTTTTACAGTCTCAATTCAACAGATGTATACAATATGTCAAGTGTTTTACAGTCTCACTTCAACAGATGTATACAATCTGTCAAGTGTTTTACAGTCTCACTTTAACAGATGTATTCAATCTGTCAAGTGTTTTACAGTCTCACTTGAACAGATGTTTACAATCTGTCAAGTGTTTTACAGTCTCACTTCAACAGATGTATACAATCTGTCAAGTGTTTTACAGCCTCACTTCAACAGATGTATACAATCTGTCAAGTATTTTACAGTCTCACTTCAACAGATGTATACAATCTGTCAAGTGTTTTACAGTCTCACTTCAACAGATGTATACAATCTGACAGGTGTTTTACAGTCTCACTTCAACAGATGTATACAATCAGTCAAGTGGTTTACAGTCTCACTTTAACAGATGTATACAATCTTACAAGCGTTTCAGTCTCACTTCAACAGATTTATACAATCTGTCAAGTGTTTTAGTTTCACTTCAACAGATATATACAATCTGTCAAGTGTTTTACAGTCTCACTTCAACAGATGTATACAATCTGTCAAGTGTTTTACAGTCTCACTTCAACAGATGTATACAATCTGTCAAGTGTTTTACAGCCTCACTTCAACAGATGTGTACAATCTGTCAAGTATTTTACAGTCTCACTTCAACAGATGTATACAATCTGACAAGTGTTTTACAGTCTCACTTCAATATATGTATACAATCAGTCAAGTGGTTTTGCCTATACAAGAATGCCATAAATCAAGGGTGTAAAAAAATATAATGTTTCTTATTTGTCCTCTTCAGCATTCTGAGCTCCTGAGATCCACTGCTGCAGATATTACCCACCTCCATCATTTATGTCATTAACCTCTTTCCACGTGATTGAAAGCCTGCTTGTATATGACCTCTCATTGTCTTTTGTGTTTGCCTCCTGATCTACGCCCATAAGTTTTATGCTTATTAAATTAAATTTATAAAATGGTGTTACCACGTCACTGTTTTTGTTTCAGTTCATTTACTACTTGAGTTTTGCCGTCAACCTGATTATCTACCTGACCTGTGGACACAGCTTTCGAAGACAGTTTAAAGAAACCTATTTTGTTCTATGTCCACGCCACCAGCTGCCCACTGGCCAGAGCGAGATGACCGCGATGTCTGTTGTAAAGACGGAGGAAGACCATAGAAACGAGGATCTCACAGAGCTGCTTGAAAATGGTCCTTGTACCAGTGGCAGTGAAAGTAGAACTTAACACTGTGATAAACAAACCTTTTGTGAGAGAAGATCATTATCATCAACATGTAGTTTTCACTTTACCTCCTATACCAGGCTCAACCCATCTCGATATGCTGGTGTAAAAGGTAATGTATGAGTGGACCAACTGGTAGGTAAGACATAAGTATGAGTGGGAGAAAGCATGGATGCAGCTGTGGAATCAATGTTGTACGGATCAGACTGGTGAATAATGATGAGCTTCTAACATTAACCCAACTGCATGACCTGGCCTGAAAACTGGTTACAAGTCTTGAGGTCTTCAAGGTCAAGACAGAAGATATAAATAGTTTTATATGGGAGCAGTTGGCAGAGTCAATGGCTGTTGTTTATGAGGACTGAGCACCTATAGTCCGAAGAATCTCAGCACAGGCTCTGTAGCACCGGTGAGGATCCTGAAATACTATAGGTAGATTTTTAGCTCCAAACTATTTTCAATTTCCAACTGCTAAGGGATTTTTTATGTGCGCAACAATACACACGGGCGTCCGATCTCACTACCCAGATACCAAAGGGAATTACTAGAAGTCCAAGTCCACGTGAAAAAATCTCAGCCCTTACCAGGGATTGAAGCTGGAACTCCTAGTATTCAAGGTGGACACCATGCCTCGAGACCACGCAGCCCCCCTAGGCTGTCTTTTGCGTCCTATATCATTGTGGCTGGTAACTCATTTCTTCTGATGTGCTCCATCCTGATGGTTTTGTCTTTGCCTCTCCCCCTCCAGGAACTGTGCCTTCCAGTTCTGTTCTTTCTAAACCAAGGTCATACTTGGAACCATAAGCAAGCAACAGATAGTAACACTGAATCTTTCCTTCAAACATAACAGATTATTTTCATTTTCCCTAATGTTGTCTTCATAACCCATGATTCCATAAGATATCTTTATAACATGATTCCCCAAGATATTTTCATAACTCATGTTTTTCTTCATATCTTCATAACCCATGTTCTCATACGATATCTTACACATGTTTCCTATGTTATCTTTATAACATATGTTTTCCCATGATATCTTCATAACATAAGTTTTCCCATGGTATCTAGCCCATATTTTCCCATGGTATCTTCATAACAGAAGTTTTCCCATGATATCTTCATAACAGAAGTTTTCCCATGATATCTTCATAACAGAAGTTTTCCTATGGTATCTTCATAGCCCATATTTTCCCATGGTATCTTCACAATCCATGTTTCCTCAAGATATTTTCCTAGCCCAAATTAACTGATCCCAGCTCAACCTTTAAGTAGCCCATCACAGTTTTCATATTGTCATATCTGTGATAGTAATGTGCAGCTGTATGTAACATTCTGAATGCTGAATGTCGGATTGAGAATCAACATCACAGCACTGGAGACTAAACACTTCAGCAGCAAGCAAAGAGAGTTCCAGTCCTGATTGTACCAGTAACTGTCTGATTGTCCATCTTCTCACTTTTTCCTTGAGTGTTGAGCATCGGCCAGATCCCCTGATAACCCTTCAGCGACATTCTCCTCATACCTTAATAATCTGTCTGTGCCTCCACACTGTTCACTCGTTCCCAAAGGGCCCTCACCACATCCCGCTTGTCACACATCAGTTGACCACTGAGTGGAGCTGAACTGGCTAGTCTATCTGCCTGCTCATTTCCCAACACACCAGCATCACCTGGACAAAATATCCAAGGGAGGCATTATTCAATTGACTAATCCACATCAAAAACCTGTGGTTTATGGATCATTAACAGTTTCACAATCTTAATATACAGGGGTTAGGAATCACGTGCTGGCGATGTAATAGTAGACACCTTTGCATTTACTTTAACAGTGATTCAATCATCCTTTTTTTTTTCTCTTCTTCTTTGCGCTCACCTGCGGTAAACTCCGGCAGAAATATCTGGTTATTTATCTACTTCTGGACTTTAGTCTTGTTCCAGAACTTGGGTTGCACGCACATCTGCTTTACAGATCTGGGTTATCTGTGTGCAGACTGTTGGTTCCTCACCTATATGGCAGATTCACTCTGACTCAAAGGAAACATCCCTCTTAGTGGACTTATGACATGCTTGTTTGGGGAAAAGTAAGTCTAAGTCTACCCCCCCCCCCCCCCCCCCCCCCACATAATGAGGCCCCAGACCCCATTTCATTTAGAAAGCAAAGGCACACCACTGAATGTAAAACTGCAATGAAAATTCACACAACAACCAAAGAAATTTTGGAGTGCATTTGTAACATTCTGAAAGGGATATGCAATAAACTTTTTGTATTTTGTGAAATCCTGAAAAAAAAATGTTTTTATCTTCATTGTAAATTATTATCTCAAAAGAAACACAAAACCTGTCATGTTCCTTCCCAATAACTTGATGCAATAAATATTTTCAATCACTCAAGATGTCTGTCTGTCTGTCTGTCTCTGTGTGTGTGTGTGTGTGTGTGTGTGTGTGTGTGTGTGTGTGTGTGTGTGTGTGTGTGTGTGTGTGTGTGTGTGTGTGTGTGTGTGTGT